ATGACAACATCTCCAAAACTTCGTAATTTTTTTGGCACTAATAAAATTTATTTAAGAAATGTAAAGTTAGCTTCGTATCTTGTTGCACCAAGCTAATATAAGCTATTTTTAAAATATTTAACCGTCCTTTATGTGTCTTTTAATTCCCGACCGTTATCACTTGCTTTCAAATTTTAAAGCGTGACGATGACATCAAATTATTGGATCACATGGTATATAGACTCAATACTCAATAACACAAAGAATTTTCTGTGCTTTTTGTGCTTTACGTAGCTTGCCTAACAATGCTACGAAAAATATATCTCGATCGTAATAATAAGAAGAGCGAATTATGATGTCCTCACAAAGCGAATTACTCAAGCAAAAATCAATAGATTGGTAAAATTTAGTCGTCGGTTTAAAGGAAGAGTCCTCGTGTCTCCGACGGACACTTGTAATGACATAACGACAATACGCCGATGACAGACCCGTCCACCCATTAAAATCGGTCGACAATGAAAAACCGACCGCCTCTAAGCACTTACTGTTAAACATATATTAAATTCCATATCGCATTTAATATCAAAGGAACTAAACAAGATATTTCATATATGAGCTTTAGAAAGAGAAGAGAGCCGTTTGTGATTGTGCGAGAACCGTGGCCAATCCAGGAAGGGAAAATGCTTTCCGCCACAATAATTGTTTTATTCGCTCACAAAGCAGCGAGTCTGCTCGCCGTTTTCAACCCCCTTGCGCACGACCAACATCCGATCTCATCTCGCTCAGGTGTTTGTAATGCGACGACAAAACACTGAAAATGTCAAACTTCATTTCGACGGCCTCGTTAAATACGTAACTCTACCGGAAAAAATCCGATATGGGGCGGAGGAGGAGAAGGAATTAGAAAAGGTTGTTAGGGGATCACTCGGATCAGGGTTACAGCGATGCAGAAGCTGATGTGAAAAGTTTGCTGTTTATGTTTATTATCTCCATTCCACACATAAATTTAATTCTGGACTTTATTATCCTTGTTATGTGCGCTGGCGAGCTCGTTATTTATTTCTTGGAGTGAAGTTCCACTCTACGTTATTAAACGCGACAAAATGTACCTTAGGTACGGAAGCAGTTGGAAGAGTTCTGGAAAGGAAACTCTCGAAAAGAGTAAACTTGCGAAGAACGTGAAAGTTCAGAGGTTAGTCAATATGGTAGTAGGTTTAAGGAGAAGAAGAAAAGTGACACAGTTACCGCCCCCCTGCTACCTGAAATCAGAAAAAAAAATAATATAAGCATTTATAAATACTCGTAATTTAAAACAAATAGCGATAACGCTTGTCGAGATTGTAGATGTGAGGGTGAAACAGAGAAACTAAAGTAAACGACATTTTCTACGAATTACAACAACCGGATCACAATGCGATGGTCCAGACTTTTTTATTTATGTTTTATAAATTAAATTATGGATTGGACTCATTACTATACTCCCATGGCTTACGTTCAATAAGTTAAAATGACCTTTCAGCAATAAATCGAAGTGTTTATCTTTATACATCGGAAGAATGTCACGCAGAAATTAGTTTGATTTGAATGAGTTTGTCGTCTCATAACAGAGGAATAAAATTGTTAATTAAGCCACAGTCAATCAAAATGTTCTGGATCTTATTTATAACTCTTATTTATTCATTATTAATTAAAAACGTGGTATTCTCACATTTTCAACTATTCGATTTTGCAGTTCCTGATTTAATCCATAAAATATTTTGATTCATTCATTATCTTTTTTTGTCACACTGTATATGCAAATATAAAGGCAATGATAAATCAGAAGTACAGACTCATCATATTTTCTACATTTTCGATAGGATTTACTCGGTAGAATTCTGAAATGACGTCATCAATTTTTTGGGGGCATAAACAGATAGATTTTGATTAAAAAATTTAATATTGATACCATTTAGCGGTTCATAACAGGCTCAGGTCGGTTATCAAATTAAATCGGAGAGATCCTGGAGATCTCATCCCCTTAAACGCCTTGTCAAGCTGCGTTATTAATAATCACAAGTTATCATTTGCCGTATAATTTCACACTTCAATAGATCTTTTTGCTATAGGTTTTTAAGGATCACTGATAAGATTAGATATATTTATTTTCACAAAAAAATTAGTTTACGATAAAGGACGTCCCTATTGATTTCTATATTAGATAAACTAAATACCATAATCATGAAAAAATATTTATAAGTTAATTTTAGTATAAAATTGGCTTGTTTCTATTTTTTTTTTATTACTAGTGTCGTTTCTATTTTTAAGCGCTATAATATGGGCGTGAAGTACAATTAAAAAATGATATACTCTAAATTAGTTAAAATATGGTAAAAACTAGTTACATTCTCTATCGTCCTAGAAGAACCCGAATAGAAAAATGCGGAGATGTAGACCGTGTGGCCTAATGGATAAGGCGTCGGACTTCGGATCCGAAGATTGCAGGTTCGAGTCCTGTCGCGGTCGCATAAAATTTTAGTATTTTGTTCATTTTGCAGTATTTTTTTATGTACTTCTAGAATTTTGTCGTTTTTATATTTGAAAACTCCGTTTTCAAAAGTTATATTATTGAACGCATTTTCAGTTCAATTACGTAATGTACGCATCTGTGCTGCCCTCTTTCATAACAGCGTCCAACTATTCGAACGAGAGCTAAGTTTCATACCTAATGCTGAAGCTTTTTGATAAAGTAAACTACTTGGGTGCATTGCTTACTTTGTAGGACACTTTTATTTGAATAAAGTTGTAACTATAGTTGGAAAAGCAATCGAAAAATACTTATCACAAAATATGCCACCAATATTTATAAATGTTTTTGTTATTTAATAATAAATGTTTTTTAATTTGTGTACATTTGCGTGTTCTATTTTATCGACCAAATACAGGTAGCGCTTTACAAGCAACCACTAGAATATTAATATGGATCTACAGATGGCACTACCAATATCATTTTATTATTTTTGATTGTGATTATGGTCAGCACTTAAAAAAATTCTAATATACATTTTTTTACGTAAATCTTGTAGTGTAGATAATTACTTTCAATAATTATCCGTTGTAAAAATTTCGTTCGCCAGTGAACAAAATATATTGTTTATTATTAAATGACCACCACTAGAGTGTTGTCGATATGCGACGATTTGAGTCGAAATTATGGTATTTGCCTTGATTAATATAAACAAAATATGTGTGCGTACAAAATGTATTGCAAATATAAATATTTACGACCATAAAATAATCATGCACATGAATTTAAACAACTACTTTGTTAATCATGTGCAAACGAATCCACTGTTCATATGAAAACATGGTACACATAAATTAACGAACAATTTTAGAGTTTTCATTCAACGTTTGCACTCAAAGTTTACTCACTTATTGCACAAATTTAAAGCTTTAGTTTTCCCACCTTCAAGATATTTTCTTTCAATTAATAGTTGTTAAAGTTGGTTTTGCCAAATGTTTCAGAGTGGCCGGTTTTTTTGGCGGTCAGTGTACATACGTTAACTTTGTTTCAAACCAATTTTTATTTACACAGTTGATAAGAACGTTTTGCATTTTTATTTTTTATTTACAATATACTCCTATATTTTATATAAATTTCAAAAGTAATATAATTGTTGTAAAATAAATATCGTCAAATTTGTCAGAAACCAAATATTTAATATACAAAAATATGGAAAATGTAAAATATTCAACATTCAAAATCCGAAGGGACTCTGTTGTTATACTAATATTAGTATGGGTGGGTGTTGATCACTTGCGCGCCACAGTTAGTTAGCTCCATGTGGCAGGTCTAATCCCTATAAAGGTGATATAATACTTGCGCGCAAATGGGAGATTATAAGGGTTGTCATTGCCAACAGGTAACATCGGTGGAAATAAAAAATTGGGGCCATGAAAATTTTAGCATTGTGTATTGTTCGTCAATCAAAATGAAAATGTTACCTCGCAACCACATGTCATAAAATGATATATTCTTTAAAAGAACCCAACTTACACGTTTTGAATTTCTCATTTTCAAGATTATATAGTTACCAATTGTGTTGCAGTTTTTTTTGTCCACCGATGATGATAGCTGATAATCAACAGGTGGTTCTAATCTCACTGGACAGTTGCGACGCAAACTACCTAAAGAATAAGGGACAGTTGCGCGCAAAGGTCTTCAAGATCTATATAATATAAATTGCTCTTTATTACAAATGAGTTGAAATAATGTCTAAACTTCGAGACTCAGAATTAAATGTAATTTTTTTTCTGCATGCCAAAGTGCAGAAATATATAAGGTGTTTCATTAAAAAACTAACTTCGGTCGTTTCTGAATAACCAAGATACTTTACAATTACGGGACTGGGACGACAGCAGATTTACAGAGTAGAAAACCAATTTTTTCTTACACAATTTTGGAATCCACAGAAAAATGGTTAAATTATTTTCTTTTTGAAGAGCCCATATTTCAGTGTTTTTTTTTTTTTTGGATTATTTTAAGTATTTTCGGAAGTCTGAGACATTTTGTTGATCAATTACACCCATGGCTTATTATTTCTTAGTATTTTCAAAGATGACGTGATTTTAAATATTACGTGTTTTTTGTGATTTGTTTTCTATTTTTTGTATCAGTAGAAATAATAAACATGTTGATAATTTCTGAAATTAGTTCTTTGTTCTGCATCAGAAAATGTCAAAAAAATCTGGATATTCCAGTAAAAAAAAAAATAGGCGGCTTTGTGCGTCAAACCGAAAGCGACAAGAAAAGGAAAAATATTGTAATCAAGTCGCCATGTTTATTAAATATATATCCACACAAAATTTCAAAAAAAAAGCTTTTCAAATAACAAAGTTATTCATTCGTTCCGGGACTGTATACTAACCCTGTATATGTATAACATTCATTAAGCCTCGAATCAATAAGAAGCCTACTAGATGATTATTCCTGAAAAAAACTGGGTCAACAACTAATAAACGTTGGAGTATTTTATAAATTTCACCAGATCGTTGGTCGAATCAAGTCAGCACAGTACCAGACAACGTGAATAAATGTTCAAATTTAACGAAAAACCAAAATACAGAGGTAAGTTTTTTGCTTTCTATTGAAACCATCTACTCTCCATGCTTTTGGTTCAGCTCACGAAGATACTTTCATCCTACTACGAAAATTATTTTATGAATATGGGCACACAAGAATTTACAAAATTTTGAACAAATATAACATATACCTCCATCTTTGTGTCCACTTCTTTCAGTTTTATTACATATATCGACATCCACATACAGATATGCTTAAATATAGCTCCACGTGGATAATTATGACTTTTGTAAGTAGATAAAAGTAATAATTGTAGTCAAAATGATGTCCCGTAGGTGCTAACGTCCATGATCTTGTCCATAGTTTTGGACAAACGTATCAACAAAGTCTACGAAGCAATGGAATCTAAACTTTGGTCAATCCATAGTGTCAACGCCCACGTTTCAAAAAAAATTAAAAACAAATCAAAAAAATTTAACTACTTGTTCACTTACACACTCCTCGTTGTTGCAGGCGCTCTAGGAGTTGTCCACCTGGCAATATGGGGAAGTCTCGACGATATGTACTTAAGTGTTTTGACTTTCAAAGCTTTTTTTGGCTCATGGTCTACAGTTATTGAACATTTTTACTTCTGCACTTTTTTGTTTGCAGCCTACTCAAGCATTAGGCTGCCGTTTTTATTGCTGTACTCGCTATTGCATCTAGAAATTCAATTTTTTCTCCTCAATGGACACATTCTGTGTATTTCGCGTAACGTCAAGGTAGAAAATATGCACGACTGGGTTATCCAAAAAGACATAGAAAGGAAAATTATTTTTTGCATCAAGCAGCATATAGCTTTAAGAAGGTCAGTAATCTAACGCTGTTTAGTTTACTTTTAGAATACGTTTTCCAGAATTATCATACAACTGTTCGATATAATCAAAATAACAATGCCAATTTTTCTTTTTTTGGCTTGTTTGGGTTGCGTTGCTCTCATGGTTCTTATTCTCGTGGTACGTCTTTCGAAAATTTAAAATCAACACTAGTGTTTCTTGTTATAGCATTTGCAATCTCTCCACGCCATCTCCTTAGTTCGCTTATTTTTTATAGTTTGCGCAAATTTGTTGATTACATGGACAGTATGTGAAGCTGGTCAAAGAATCATTGATGAAGTAAGTAAATACGATGTCAGATTGTGGTTTATTATTTTTTCCAGACTGGCGCTACTTTCGACTCATTAGTAAAATGCCCTTGGTACAGCTGGAATACCAAAAATCGTCGCCTTTTGGTAATATTTATGTTAAATTCTAGAAAACCTGTTAGTTTTTATCTGGCTGGAATTACCGTGGATTATACACTAACTGTCAAGGTACACATCGAGGTTCCTTTTCCATCTGAAATTATTTAATGTTTTCTAGATATATCGGATTTCTTTCAGTAATGCGTTGGTTTTCTATAACCTCAACCAAAGTTCTTTATTTTAATTCGCTATGTGTTGCTGCTGCATAAATATACGTATATTTATTATCATCTTTTTTTAAATTGATTGCATATTTTCTTTTAAACCATAATCTCGGTCGGGACAAGCGTACGTACAGTTTTAAGCAATATATTTTTTTACGAATAGGTACTCCGTCCAGAGCAAGTTTGTTTATAGACGACAGGATTTTTTAGTTAGTACCTGCTTAGACAAGACTAATTTTGGCAAATGATACTTTTTAAGAAAATAGGCTTCTGGCGGCACAATAATACGTAGTAGTAAGCGAGGAAAGATAAGCTCCTCCGTAGTCTAGTGGTAAGGGCACCCACCCGGCAAGCGGTAAACGTGCGGTTGGATTTCCACCGGAGAAGCAACATTTTTCTTCGCTTACCTACAGGCCAATACTTGCTAAGATAAGATTGAACAATATTAAGAGTAGTCACTAGAATGAAGAAAAGGGGCATGGGTGGGACTATTTCTTGCTTATCGAAGGACTCCGCAAGAGAAAGTTTAACTTATTCTTACTCTTTCATTCACTGTAATTTCATATAAGAATATATTTGAAACTCGTTCAAAACTGCCACAGAGTTATTCAAAGTTGGGTTTTATTAGATACAAAATGTGCGTGGTAACTAACTACGAGTACACATTTTTAACATTTCGGCTGCCAGTTCTGTTTTTCTTTTTTGCTTAAATTGCACATCATGGCTTATTTCTAGATAATCCAACACATTTAATATAACTTGTTTTGTATGACGACTAATCGTTTCATTGTTCAGAATTAAGTAGAGTAGTAAAACGTTAAATATGACATAAAATTTCTATGAAAGTGCATAATATAGAAAGAGTAAAAGTTTTACCCTGGGTATTTCCACCACTATAATATTTGTAGCAAATGTCATAAACCCCTTAGCGGGAAGATGTTGTAGGGTTATATACTTTTAACACAAAAAAAAATGAAATGTATATTACTTGTATAAATTAAGATATTTGTATATGTATATAACAATTGCAATTAAACATAAAGGTATTTCAGTTGTAGGAACCTTATTCTTGTACAATACTCATCAAAAACAAAAAATATACGTTGTATGTGGACTGGTTTCATTTTTACAGATTTGGAAAAGGTATGATGTAGGAATTATGATCTTTAAGTGAAAAAGAATCGCACCTTTCAACATACGTGACGATGACGTTGGAAAACACACAGGTAATTATATCCGATATCCGTACAAAGTTTTTAAATGTAGATATTTTTCTTCATAGCAAATAAATCTTAGAAAGCACGAACGGTAACTGGTGTTCTTGCTCTAAATTAATATTAGATATATTAGATTAGATAATTACATTTTCTAATTCATAGCCACTCGTTCCTAACGACGGTGTTTTTTTTCATTTAAAGATATCTACTTAGCCTATATTACACGAAGCCAGTGTTTTCCTCTAAAAGAGATCTTCTGCCTAAGTTTAGATAAGCTCGTGCGGAGTAAATAAAGTTTCTCCCTAAAAAGGATAACAGAGTTTTCGCCGAAAAATCGCCTGTAATTGTCAATAAACAGAGAAACCCGTCAATTCCACAGCACAAAGCCGATTGAACTGCGTGTTTTTCAATTTTTGGGGCTAATACGACGTTATTGTTTCGTTGATTACATACAAATGCGAATAATCCGATTTCGTGTAATTCCATGGTCCGGTAAGTGTTTATAGGAAACGTGTCCAAGCAGGGTCATCCAATACCATTATGAAATAATTGCAGATTCCAATCAACTTACGCTCAAATAACGGAGAGAGCAGATCGAATAAATCACACACCCTGAATAATTAATAGAGATGATCGGTTGCAATCACGTTTGTTCCATGAATCAGTTGCCGGAGGCCACTGATAGATATTGGTGTTCCGTGTTCCAGTAAACCGCTCCAGGTGCCCGCCACCGAGCGGACTCAACTTTACATACTATCCCTTTGCGATTCATTACGGGGATGGAGAGTCGACTACTTCCACCGAATCACCTGGAGACATACGAAACACCGAATCTGCTGGGGGAAAGTTATGGAAATCGGGACTCGTTTTTATTGGTTTTAACGACCTCTTTTAGATCAATAAGTGTAACATATTTAGTGGAGTAAGTCATAAAGCTCGTGATGCGCACATCTTAGTATCACACAGTCTCGTAACTTGAAGAATTGGACGATTTCAAAGTATGGAATAATATTGCTTTTATTGCAAAGTTTCTGTCTTTATTGTGACTTTTATATCGAATATGTGACCGCTTTCTTATTCTTATTGCTGCTTATCATACTTGTGCACATTTTATAAAATACTCTGTCTGTGGTTCAAACTGCACATTATGAATTTATGTTTAAGGAGAAAATCTTATCCTGAACTATGTAGGTATATACCTACCTAGAGGCAAGGAATTGTCGATAGTAAAACTAAAAGCAAAAATAGTGCGCTTTTACAGAAAAAAATAATATCAGTAGATTTGCAACGAGAATAAATTTAAACCTGGCTGTCCCGCTGGAAGACCGCTTCTCAGGCGTCCTGTTGGAAAATTATACAAATTTAAGCATCAGAAACTCACCCGGAGGAGATGGTCTCATGGTATGCGAATGCTTTTCACGATCTGAGACAGAAGCAGTTGTTAGAATTAGTGGGAAAATGGATCGTTTCGTCTATAAAGGCATCCTGGAAAACTTGATGCTTCCGTTTGCGGGAGAGGAAATGCTGCTTTGTTGGCGTTTCCATCTAGATAACTACTCTAAGCATACCGCCAAGCTAATTAAGGGCTGTTTTACAGAAAAAATGGTACTGTGTTGAAATGGTAGTCCCAGTTGCCCGATCTTACACTTACACTTTTAGAATCATGTAGATTGTGCAGTTACGTAGAAAAGCTTTCATAAAAATAATTGGAACAGGAAGAATGGCGAAACGTTCCGGTGGAAATTTGTAAGAATCTGCTGGATTCCATGTCCTGACGATGCCTATCAGTGATTCAAACAACACGTTGTGCAACTAAATACGTACTGAAATTTCTGCAGTTTTTTATTGATTTATGTAATAACATCAATAGTCTCCATATTATTTGCATTGCTAAGATATCCCTAACTGTTCTAAGAAATCTATCGGGTGTCCCAGTTTACCCATTCCACTTAAATATATCAGTTTTGTTTGAATATGCCGGTAGTATTATATCATCTTCGTTTTTTTTTTTCAGAAAGACAAACTTTTTCTTTCAAAGTAGAATACCATTTTTTCGGTGTTAGCATTTTAATTATTTTTCACTGATACCGTAAGCATATTAGAAGAAGCTCGGTACTGCATTTTTAAATGGCGGTGTCTTAGTTTATTTATGCTGTCTTATTTATCTGAAAAGATAGAAGTTTGAAAGTTCGTACTAAATTATAACAGAAACGGTTTAAATTTAATATTTCATTACCCTTAATTTTCTCAGATACTGAAGTTGTATGGCTATTTGAGTACTATGCATTAAACTTATTTTCGACTGTACAATGTGTTCTGTTTTCGAGGCGTAGTACAAATCTTAGTATTTTTAATTATATAGAATCCTTTATATATTTTTACATATTCTTATCAGCTTCTTCCTAGGTTTTATAATCATAGTTTATTTTTGCAATTTCGATGGAGCGTTGCCACGTAATTCCAATTTTCCTGATTTTTTTTAACAATGCAAGGATTCACAAAAAAATCACAATAATACCCTTTTTAAAATCTGTACTGCAGTATTTTGTTCAGAGACAATTGTAGGTACATGATTTATTATGGTTTCAGTTAAATACAATTTTACAGAGTGCTTATAACTTTATTACTACATCTTATTGTATTTATTGTTCTCTTTCTTTTAATATGTGTGTTCCTTAAAAAAGTCAAAACTCAATAGTTATCAACTTTAAATATAAAAAAAAAAGAGAACAAACATAGAATAAGTTCCAGTACTTAATAAAATATGTAGACAGTGGTCTATTTGAGAAAACTGAAGTACCGATATTTGAAAGTTGTTATAATTATTTTTTTTATAAACACTCTGTATATTATATATAAAATATTGTAACCCAGATTTTAAAAATAATCCTATTGCGAGTTTTTTATGAACATGCTAACAAAAATTCAAAAAAATTGCAATAACTTCCCAACGTCGCGTCGCATCGAAATTTAAAGGTTAAGTTGTCTGTTAAGCCCTAAAAATAGAACACTCTGTCTAGATGAAAATAATGTTGGTATATACAGGGTGCCGCATCCAAGTCTGGACATAGGGAATTAACATGGGAATTGGTTTTTATTTTATAATATCTCCCCAGATCACTTTAAAGCTATTATTGAGTGATGCCTTTGTGGAGGTCGAAGAGGGCTATCGGCCAGTATTTTTTTCAAATCGTTGCATCGCGCTCACTCACTGTAAAAAGGTTTTAAAAATCGTATTTTAAAATTCGCGCTCGATCCGAATTGTCGCGAAATGTTCCATCACACTCTCGAAGTTCGGCGATCGCGTCTTTCGATTAATTATGCAAAATCCAAATGCCAAAGTGAAATTAGAAATTATTTTCAGAAATTAACGAACAACTCGAACCTGTGACTTAAACTGAATTATTTTATCCAGTGCGATGATTATTGTAGGTCAATTTAAACGGAATAAATGCACAAACTGCACAAAATATTTTTATTAGGTTATGCTATGTTCCACTGCGTTTAGATGAAAAAGCGAGGGTCTGCTTGTTCTTGAACGATTAATTTAATTAGTAGGTAATTTGTGTAAATTTTACATTTTTTTTTCGAATGACTAAAGATTGGAAGTCAATTGATTTTACATTCGTTAAGCAGGGATGGAATTTTTGCCGCCTGGAAGCATGTTCGTTACAAGAAATTTTTGAGAGAGAAATGTAGAACATTGACTCATCAACGTCTCTATTACGAATGTGTTTTGGGATTTAGAAACTTTTGTATTACTGTTTTAGTTGTTTATTGTGTTAACAACAACAAAAATAAAAATAATATTTCACAAAACAAAATTACCTTTATTTTCAAAGGTGATAAAAAGTAAATAAAATCAGGTGGGCACAACGTTTTCTAGGAATCTTAAACAGATGGGATAGAAGTTTCAAAAAGCATCATGACAAAAAATTGAAGCCTGAGGACTACTTTTCACGCATGGAGTTTTACGAAGGAACGCTTGAGAGAATCTAGGCTGATGGAAAGTTTTTGAGGAACATTTGTTTTACTGACGAATGTTCATTTGGTCTTAAGGGAAGTTATAATTATCAGAACGATTAAATTTGAGCATTACACAACCCTCACGTGGGCCATGAGCATCGTTATCAATGGCGTGCAACTGTCACTGTATGACTAGGGCTTTTAGGACATCATGTCATTGCACCTTTTTTCATCGAATCCGGATTGAATGCTCAGAAGTAGGACAATATGCTAGCTCAGCAAATACTTCCTGGGACTCGAAGGGTGTGGCATCTGCAGCAGGTCTTTTACATCCAGGACCAAATCTCCAGCCATACAGCTCGCATAAATGTTGTTTATTTGAACCAATATTTTCCCACAACGTTGGAATGGAAAGTTTGCACCGCTCCATTGACCTGTGCATTCGCCGGATTTAAACCCCTGAGAATTTTTTCTTTGGAGATTTTCTTCACGACCATCTGTATTCAAACAATACCAGCTATACAAACAGAGACGCGCTGATACAAGCAATCCAGCAATATTGTCTTCAGATTTCAACTCAAATGCTAATCAACACGCGTAAGAGTTTAGAAGATCGGCTTATTTACTGTACAGCTGTTGAGAGCAGTATTTTTGAGCAATTCTTGAAGATAGTGCAATACTTGTCCAGATTCGTACTATATTTCATTACTTCATTCATCAACAATTGTTAAGTTTTGTTATTTGTAGTTATCTAAATGGTTCATTAAAAGGTTCTCTTCAAAAGCGCCAGCTGTTTTGATGGTATATCTTATGATCACACAATAAGAAAAGCGGGCCCCTGCTTTTTCATCTAATCGCAGTAGAACATGGCATTTTAATGAGATTTTAGTAATAAAGACTCGACCAGCACCAACAACATAACCTAATAAAATATTTTGTGCA